ACATTACTTACACATGCACTTCTTTCCATCTCTATTACAGCTTAACACTCCTAATACTGCTTGCCCATTTAACAGCCTTTAATGAATCAACATCAACTCATGTCCTTGTCCCGCTCTTTCCTCCACCCCTAATAAAATGGATATACCTCAGACTGGGCAGCTAGACATGCAGCTTTGTGAAGAAAAGAGAGAATCAGTGAAAAGCTCTAAGGTGCTTTTTCCTGAGACATTTACAAATATGATATAGATTAGTGCCTGTTCACTTTTTTTAGCAGCATTGGTTCCAGAAGTATTTTTTTCATAAATTTTTCCCATAGGGATTAAAAAAAAAAAAAAGTATTTGTTAAAGCATTATAAGCCATGAACCAAGCCAACCAGCTGAAGGTGAATCACTACATCACAAACTTTTATTTGAAGCAAAAAAGCATTTGAAAATGAGCTAGATCGACTCGATTACGTCAAGGTCGACGTTGATTACTGCTGAGCTCTTTTGGTGTGATTTGCTTAACACAACTCTCTGATTGGTGGAATTTTCTGGACCGAATTATGGGTAATGTAGTTTTTCATCATGATTTCCACTGTTAAACTTGATTCTAAAAATAATGTGAACAGATGGCTTTAACAAAATCATTTACTGTCGATTAACAACCTCAGAGCTCACAACCCGTCTTTAAAGGTTTATAAGTTGTTGTTAAAAATACATTTTCCTATAGAGAAGAGTTTTTACTTCTGGACTGTTGCACTCGATTAGCGTCACACAGGAACATTTTAATCATCAAAAGTCATTGTTGTTTACTGTCATTTGTGCAAGTTTGTATGAAAATCCAGCTGTGTTTCCACAGACTATAGACAAGAGAGAATACAATAGACAGTATTGCTATGCATAAAAATATACATACAGTGGGTACGGAAAGTATTCAGACCCCCTTAAATTTTTCACTCTTTGTTATATTGCAGCCATTTGCTAAAATCATTTAAGTTAATTTTTTTTCCTCATTAATGTACACACAGCACCCCATATTGTAGCTTAAAGTAACTGGTACAAGATCAAATTGTGTTGAGTGACACTGGGATCACAGATTTTTTTATTTTTTTTATTTATGATTTTAATTCAGTCAAATCAGATCCTTGGCACATCTCTACCAAAGAAAACCAGCATTTTGAAAGCTCAGATAAAAGAATCTGATCATCACCTTGAATGTCTTCTTCAACCCATCCATTTTGCTACTAAACTTGTTCTCTCTCTCTCTCTTCATGACTTGTGTCTGTGCAGCCTCACTCTTCATCTCTCCATTTCCCTCATTCCATCCCACTGACCACCCCTTCATGCCCTCTCCCACAATGCACTGCTGCTTCCTGTCCTCCTCCTCTCATTTCCTCCTATCCCTCTCTGCTGTTGCAGCAGGTAAGGGCACGTGCAAAATGTTACAATCTGTCCCAGTCTGCTGAATCTAATTCGTACTTTTTCTCCTCTTCCATTGGTATCCGTTTGGTTAAGGTGTCTAAAATTAAACCATCACACTGGATCAACTGGATCAAATTATGTTGAGTGACACTGGGATCACTGATTCATCATAGATGTTTTTTTATTTATGATTTTATTTGAGTCAGATCAGGTTCTTGGCACAGCTTCGCCAAAGAAAACCAAAATTTTGAAAGCTCAGATAAAAGAATCTTGAGCATCACCTTGAAGATCTTCTTCAACCTATCCATTCTACTCCATAATCCAATTTGCTCTCTCCCTCTCTCTCTCTCTCTCTCTCTCTTCATGACTTGTGTCTGTGCAGCCTCACTCTTCATCTCTCCATTTCCCTCATTCCATCCCATTGACCACCCCTTCATGCCCTCTCCCACAATGCACTGCTGCTTCCTGTCCTCCTCCACTCATTTCATCCTATCCCTCTCTGCTGTTGCAGCAGGTAAGGGCACGTGCATATTTTACACTCTGTCCCAGTCTGCTGAATCTAATTCTTACTTTTTCTCCTCTTCCACTGGCATCCATTTGATTAAGGTGTCTAAAACCAAACCATTACATGTGAAGCACTTTATAAAGGAGATACAGGGAGAAACAGTGAGTTCTTCCCATCTGGTGAGTGTTCTCTCGTCACTCAGCTAAGTTAGGAAATATAATTACAGTGGAGAGGGATTTAGTGTAAGTGTTTTGACATCTGGCATGCTGGAGGTCACCGGCTTAGGCAATCTTCTAAATAATTGTAGGTTAGTTATCATTACTGTATGCTCAGAGTGCGGCTTTATGACATATTGAATGGGATTTAATTTGTGGTTACAGTTAAGCAGTCGCAGAACGTCTCATTTTAGGCATCAGAGCGAAACCCAGATCCCCCAGTCGGAGGAAAACAGAAACTTTAACGCACTGCTGCTTCCTGTCCTCCTCCTCTCATTTCCTCCTATCCCTCTCTGCTGTTGCAGCAGGTAAGGGCACGTGCAAAATGTTACAATCTGTCCCAGTCTGCTGAATCTAATTCGTACTTTTTCTCCTCTTCCATTGGTTTCCGTTTGGTTAAGGTGTCTAAAATTAAACCATTACATGTGCAGCATTTTACAAAGGAGATACAGGGAGAAACAATGAGCCCGTCCCATCTGGTGAGTGTTCCCTTGTCGCTCAGTTACAGTAAGTTAGGAAATATAATTACAGTGGAGAGGGATTTAGCCTAAGTGTTTTGACATCTGGCATGCTGGAGGTCACCGGCTTAGTCAATCTTCAAAATAATTGTAGGTTAGTTATCATTACTGTATGCTCAATGACATATTGAATGGGATTTAATTTGTGGTTACGGATAAGCAGTCGCAGATTGTCTCATTTTAGCCATCAGAACGAAACACAGATAGTTTAAAGAAACTTTAGAAACTTTAAAGCACCTGATAAGGTATCATGGATAAACAGAATAAATGACTCGAGACATTGAATTATTAAAAATAAATACACACTCAAGGTATATTGGCATTACCACTTAATTTCCAGTGATTGTACAGTCTGTTATGAGTTATTCCTTCCTTATCAGACACTAAATAAATTTATCTTAAGTACCAAAGGTGTCTGTGAATAGGGTATTTTCTTACAGTGGCTCAATCAGTGACTGAAAAACTTTGACACTATTCTGTATGAATGCAGCATCACACAGTGTAATGTCCAAGACCAGTGAGCAAAAATTACTTAGCGATACTTTAATAATATTAGAGCGTAATCTCCAATTTAAAGTGCAATTTAATTTTATTCTACATATAATCAAAATCTTCATAATTCTGTTGTCTAATCTGTCTCTCCATCTCTGCCCTGGACAGACCAGTTCTTCCTCTATCCATCCTCATCAATCTAACTCCATAACATTTCACCCCATCCCAGAATGCACTGCTCCTCTCCATCTTTCCTTTACATTCTCCTCTGCTTCCTCATTAAGGTATAGCAGTGATTTTACCTTTAACACACTTCCTGTTTGTCTTCAATAATTCTCAGGCCTTTCAGAGTCATTTATTATTAACATATTGAGTATCACTCTCCTCATGTCTCTTTTAAAGCAGTAAATTAAAGCCAGAAATACTTTATGGCATAAACATGCAAGGAGAAGCAAAGAGTAACTCTCAGATGGTGAGTGTTTGTCAGGATAATTGTTTGATTAATTGATTGAAAGTGAAAAGTTTGCCCACAAATGAAACTGCTATTGTTATTTACTCTCCCTCATGTCGTTCCAAACCTGTATAGCTTTATTTCTACCATGGAAGAAATGTCTCGCATGTCTCAGAGATTTAAGAGTTTCAGTGAAGAAGGACTTTAAGATGTAATAATTACTTTTAAAACAATATTCACTCAGAAATTGCTAGTAAATTTCACAAGTAATTTAACAAGTAACATTGAATTATGCATGAAATTTTGAAGTATAAAAACTGAAATAGCATTTTCTTGTAAAACATACTCCAATAATCCTACTTTTATGGTACTTTGGTATTATCATTTTTGGAGTTTGAAAGACCAAATAAAACAAGAATGCTTTCTTGGAAAGAACCAGCTTGGGAATTTCTCCTTTTGAGTTCCATGGTAAAAAGAAAGTCATACAGTTTTGGAGCATTATTCATTTTTTGGGTAAATCTTTCCTATAACTTAACCAAAGATGATCACAACATTTGCTGCAATAAACTCTCAAATCTACATTTCAGTCTGCCACCAGCAGTAGCACAACATCCTTTACTGTAAGAAAACAAACAGTCGTTCCTCAGTCAAATGGAGACTCGTATGCTCCCAAACAGGTATATGACCATATCTGCGGAATGACACTTATCCACAGTCTCTCAGGACTCGCATGATGTGCAGTCTGTCTGGAATGAGTCTTCCGGGAGATTGTTGGCATGTTGTAGGCAGGACTGGAGAGCACTGATCAGGGCGGCAGCTCTCTTTGATGGACTGTCTCTCTTCACATGGTTGGTTTTCTAATGAGAACGTGCCAGTGTAACACACACTTGGCTGTAAGCAGCCATACATTCCAGCTGACCACAGGGAGAGAGAGCATTCCAAAAGTCCTCTCTTCCATTGCCAGATGCCTGACCTGAAACTCTAGCTCCACCCACTGAACAGTTCAAAAGTGACTGGATCATTACATAATCGTCTCAACATAGGAGTTTTTCAAGTTTCACGGGATGCTTTTAGAAGTATCTCAGGAATGACCGACAACCCTCATTGTGAGCTAAAAGGCATGGGCTCAGTTCTAAAAACCTAATAAGATGCCTACATTCTACAGATGCAATCCAGGCATGAGTGAATAATGTGACTCCAGCTACATTTCTGCAAAAGCATACCTGTGCATGCATTTCACTGCAGTTTCCAGCTGAAATTAACTTGAGGCAGTAAAAGACCAACAAAATTTGTTCCTATTTATACAAATTATGATTACAGGGGAAGGTTAAAAAGGTACAGGGAAAAAAGTTTTTTAGGTGGTTACTTACACAATAATATTTTATAACTTCAGTATACTTTTACCACAGTACCTGATTTGTAAATTAAAACATTTTGACTTAAAGGGGTCATATGATGCGATTTCAAGTTTTCCTTTCTCTTTGGAGTGTTACAAGCTCTTGGTGCATAAAGAAGATCTGTAAAGTTGCAAAGACTAAAGTCTCAAATCCAAAGAGATATTCTTTATAAAAGTTAATGATAAGGTATCATGGCACCATCTAAACTTCCTGTTTTGCCTTTTCTGTGACTATTTGGAAAGGTAAACCAACATGTTTTCATGTTACTGTATATAGACAGCGTTTCTGTTTTTTTCAAGGTACTGTATGGAAAGTATATTTTTCCACTGTAAAAAGTTTAACACCTAAAAGAAAAGAATGATTACATTTGAAAAATAGACAGTTTACTAAATACTTGGTGGTGTAACAAACTAGTTCTATAACATAATTCTAGGTAAAAAAAAACAACAACATAGAATTGTGTATATATATATATATATATATATACACA